GAGTGCCATCTTGAAATCCATTGATTTGTTGATTCTACGTGCAGAAGACAAGGGTGCCTTGATGCCACACCTGGGAAAGTTGGTGAAGCTCTTTGATTATTTGATTGGCTTGGAGATGGCTGAACGTTTCTTGTTGGAGCAATCGTGCGTCGTCCATCTGTTGGGACACTGCGTGGCAGGCGATGAGCATCGCTCGGCCGAGCTCCTGATGGCGGAGAAGTCGATGTTTTCCACGGGATTGCAGAACTGTTTGTCGGCCGATGCCCGACGAGCGCACCGAGAGAACGTCATTGCAAGGAACGAAACTGGCACAGCTGAAGTCAATGCCACCATTCGATTGCAAAATGCTGCCCTTTTTTGTTTGTCAGCCTTGGGACTGCCTCAAGCCTCTGCGGAACTGCAAGACAAAGGATGTATTCTGGAAAAACGCGAGCGCCCCATTGGGTGTTTCCATCCGCACGATGCTGAACGACTCCTTCGCGCCTTTCGGAACCCGAAAGTCGGTGAAGATGCTGATGGAAAAGTTGGAAGCTTTGGAGCACATCCCGCAGCATTTCCCTCCTACACTCTGATGTTTGTAGTGGCTGTGAAGCGGGAGCTCTGTGTTCAAGCAACTGGTCCTGCCTTCCAGGCACTGATCGTCAGTGAAAACAACTTGCCCAATGTCTACGTGAGCCTGGAGGATTTTACCGTTTGGGTGCAAGTGCGCACGAAGAGCGGACGGCTGGAGTCCGCTCAATCGTGCTTGACATTGACGGACCAGGCCATGCCTGTGGCTGTCACCGTTGTGGTGGATGGCCTGTTGGTGTTCCTCTACTTGAACGGACGAGATGCCTTGGAGCAACCTAAGAGGCTGTCAGACTATGCAGCCGAGGTGCAAGCTGGTGACATTGTTTCTGGCAGGTCAAGCAAAGCAGTTGAGGCTTTGCAACGAGGTGACGTGAAGCGTGAGGATGATCCTGTACTTGCTGGTGCCATGCTGATGCTACGTTTCTTTCCTCGAGCGATGGTGACCTACGAGGTCGATTCAAAGGTTCAAGTCGCAAGGAGCCAGGCTGTCAAGGTCCTGAAACGGAAGCCGGGCACGGGTGGTCCAGAGGAGGTCCCTTTGACTGTCTTCAACATTATTGAAGTCACCCAGCTCGTGATTCAATTCACTCATGTGCAGCTGAATGACGAGTCTTTGGCCGCCATGGGACAGAAGAAGGCAGGCTTGCAAGAAGTTCTGGATCCAGACACAATCATGTGGATGGTTCTGGCCCTAGGGACGGCTGCAATGTATTTGCCACACCAACATCCCAAGTTTTTGGATCTAATCAAGCAGCCTTTTGTCAAGGTCATGCAAGTGATTGCTGGCATCATCGATGGCACGAGTTCAAAGGACTTGTCCAACTACGAGCAGGCCTTCATTGCTGCTTGTGTGGTCTACGTGGCCTTTGTCCTGGCCTCTCCACGCGGAAAGAACATCCTGCAGGATCACTTGGCCGCAAAACTCCTCATCAAGATGAACGGATACTCAGATAGCCCCATCGACTTCAGTGATTATGTGATCAAGAATTGCCAAACCATCTCAGCCAGGCTGGCGGTGCTGGTGCTTCGCGCCAAACAAGAGTCTCCTGCAACCTTGGCTTTGGTTTTGGATGCCATCATGTCGCGGATGGTCAATGAGGATGGTATCATCTACAAAGAAGACTTACAGGAGTTCCTTGTGGACCAAGGACTTGGCGCTGTCATTCAAGTCTTGGAGTTGGTGGGAAAGGGACTTCTGCAGGTGGAGCGGCGAGAGCGCGAGCGCCGCGAGCGAAAGTCGCTCGAGTCCGGTGCCACACTCACGGCTGAGGAGCGAGAGGAACGGGCGAGGCAAGACAAGGCGGAACGTTTGGCGTTGGAACAGGCCGGGGGGGAGGCCATCGGTAATAGAAACGGACAAAGAACAGGAAGAAAGGTCTAATAATTAGTCTAATAGAGTCCCCGGTCCTCGAAAGGGGAAGGTGGTGTTGTCGAATAGGTTTCAGAACACGTGAAACTAGTTTTGGTGTCCAACATGTGTCCACGAAAGAGATGATCTGATCTACAGTGGGGGGTATAGAGTATGGAGAGACAATTTAAAGACTTAAAGTGTATTAAATATTTTTAAATAAGGGGAGACTTCCCAGAGACCTCCTGGAAGAAGGAACATAGACCAAAACCCATTTGGTTGGGCCTCTCCCCATTTTCTTGGCACCGTCCACTGCTAGGTGGGCACCTTGGCTGCACGGTTGCATCGTCAACTCTTTCTTCAGCTGCACCATATCATGGACGAGGTGACCCACGGGCTGCCGTTGGATGAAACTTCCATGCTGGCACTGGTGAAGATGGTGGGCACGGTCTTGGAAGTACCTCATGTGTACTTCATGCCGGCAAGCTCCTTGCACGCTGAGATGATGGAGGACCTTGAGGTTGCAGAGGGCATGCCCTACGAATGCTGGCGTCACATTGCGGAATTATCCTGTGACAAGCTTCGAGTTTGGACAGAGAAGTTCTATCCCATGTCACTGCGGACATATGGAGAGGTCTCGACCCTGCTGGAGGATTTGCAGGAGCAAGTTTATGTCCGAGATCGCCGCCATATCAGCTCGCCGAGACTGGAACTTGGGGCGCCGACACAGACCAACCGTGTTTGGATCCATTTTCAATCCTCACAGCCCAAGATGATGACCGACACTGAAGTGAGAGTCCTTTCCGTGCACGAGCCGCCTCTGGAGCTTCCGGTCAAGAAGTCAGGCCATAAATATTGCGCCGAACCCTCACGCTTGGTGGCTTTTGCCAATGCCGTTTTGTACAACAGCCGCTACAAAGATGAGGTCTATGCTAATATTATTGTGCTTTTGGCTGAGCTAAACCTGCCAGAGATGTACACATCTCTGGCTCCCCTGCTGGTGCAAACGGCTCTCCAATCTGACTGGCTTTGCCGCCTGGTCTCTCACGAACTCCTGCACAACGTGCTTTACCCGGACAAACACTTGCTTCCGTTGCTGTACGAGGCGGTGCTTTCACCCAGTACGCCTTTGGCCACACGCTACATGCTCCTGGACCTATGCAGGCGAATTGCACACTCTGCATTCACACCTTTGGACGGCTTTGAAGAATTCCTCCAAGTACTAAGGACTAGGCCGCCGCCTGACCTGCTACCAGATGGCACATCCACAAGCAGAGAAGTACCGACCTCCATCAAACCCGCGCATGATGCTGGTGCTGTCAGCCTTCTCCTTTCATCCATCAGCACTGGTGTGCCAGAAGATGTGCAGGTCTCTGTGGTTGGGCTGGCAACAATGGTGGTGGCCAGGGATATCAACGCTTGTGAGCAGGCCATTCTTGAGAATCAATACCATGATGGTGTGGTGGTGGATGGGGAGAAACCCTTCTTTCTTTGGCGCACCTTCGCAGACCTCATCTCATCGAAGAAACGCGACCTGCAGAAAGCGACTGCCCGCTTTCTGAACACACTCTTTTGGAGACTTCCGCAGGAGACTTCCGCGGCGAGACATGCATATAGAACATATTAGAAAATACTACAAACCAAAAGGCTGGCCAGAAGTGGCAAGCAATGACCCCAACAGTGTTTATAGAATGGCGTTTTTTCAATTTGCAGAAATTCTAGCGTTGCGCTGGCTGGCAGTTGTCCCGCTTGAAGAGTTGGCCAACCATCTATATAGACGGTGTTTCTCTCAAGCCATTGGCACCCATCCACAGTGTATGAACAAGTGATAGATAAACATATATGTGACGAGCATTCCAAGGGCGTTTTTCAGCCTCAGCATCGAAGCAAACAAGGTCAAAGAAGTGTTGACACACCTTGAAGCACGAGCTCTCCAGCTACCCCGGCTACCCCCGCACTGCGCAGTCACTTGACAGGACACCATTGAGCTGACGACTCGACCACGTGGTCAGAGCTCGGAGGAGTATTGGATGCTTCCAAGGCTTCTGGATGCGCTGGGGCATCCGGAGGATGAAGCTGTGGAGGACTGCTAGACAGCTAGGTTTGCACCGACCGTAGGAGCATTTTTGAGGTCCTTCTTTTCAATTGTTTTGGGCACAATTGCAGATGACAACATCTATTGAGAAACAACATAGGATAGAAGTAAGATGAAGTAAGTGACTAGAAGGGGTTCCTTTTTGTTCGCTGGACAGGACCTTTTACAGGTATTGATGCCTTTGGCTTCCCCAGTGCAGAACGTGAAGAAAGAGGATTTAGAAGAGGAATTCGCACACTTGGTCTTCGTACCACAACACACCAAGGCACGCGACTCAAGAGAATCCCCAGCAGAGAGGCTGTTGCGGGAGGCTGCCTTGATGATCAGTGATGGTGAACGGGTCAGCGTTCTGGTCTATTTGTTGCGCTTGCTGCGTCCCAGATTTCTGCGTCGTGCGCTCGATTGGAAAGCCTCCGTTCGAGACTTTGTGCTGGACTTGATTCTCAATGAGAGGGTCTTGACCGAGCTCACCACGGCAGCTGGAATCGCGGATGAATTCTGGGTCGTCGTGGTTCAGGTCTTAGAGCTGGGTGGACTTCCAGGACAGCGATGGGTCGCGCAGACGCTTCGCTGGCTGGTGCGCGCGGCAGAGCAAGCAATACCAGAGAGCGGGGAGAGAGATGCGGGAGATCTTCGTTTGGTGCGGAGTGCTTGCTCCCCCAAGATTCTTGTGCCACTGGTAGTGCATTTGGCGCAGGGTGCGCTTGCAAGTGCATCTGCTGCAGCAAAGCGAATGCTAGCAGCACTGGAACAGGTCCCTGATTCCTTGCTCTCGCTGCTCCGCTATTTGCCTAGCACCGAGCAAAACTCCTTGCTGACAGACTCGCTGCGGCGTTTGTTGGACTCTTCCAAGACCTTGAGAAGCAAAGGGCACTCCGATGCAGCAGACTCAGTGGCCACATTTGCCTCAAGAATGGTCCTCACCTATTTATCAACTGGATTGGTGACAGAGATTGTGAAGCGTTATCCTCAGGACACCACTTTAGAGAGCGTGAGCGATGATGGCACCAAGATCTTTGCTGCAATGCCCTTTGAAATGCCAGGGGCCATTAGTGTAAAGGTCATGTGGGAAAGCAAGAAGGCCATGAATACTGACATTCTCTTGACTCCAACGGGCCCAGAGGAGGCGATGGCTTTGAGGATTGAGGACCAGGCTCGAGTTCAACTGAGCACCCGCACTGCAGGGGATGTGGTGAAGGTCACCTTTAAGCCTGGCTTTGCCAAAATCTCCCAAGGCAGGATCTTCAGTGGTTTTGACCGTGCAACCAGCAAAGGTGACGGAAAGGAGGAGTTTGTGCTGAAAGCCGTCCCAGTCTTTGTGTTTCGCTCAATTCCACGGACGTCCATCGACGAGCTTTTTGCAAATGGACACTTCGAGGAGATCATGAAGATGCTGCTTCCCTCCTCTGACCCTGCTGATGCCGCAATCCGCGGAGTACCCCTCGCAGTGATTCAAGCATGCAACTGGGGCTATTCGGTCTTGGCCAAGGAATTGGAGTCCTCTGAAGAGAAACTCGAACATTTGAATTCAGAGACAGTGCCCGTGTTTCCGTTCCTACGCTTGGTCCTTGACATCATTCACAGATTGGAAGCCGCACGGCCTGGTGAACCTGAGCTGCTTCTTCTCGAGGAGCAGGCGCGCGTCGCCGGTGAAACCATGCTGACGTTGTCCCGATCGTTGATCTTTCGAGACGCGATGCTGGGCGGCCCTGATTGGGAACATGTTCCCGTCTTTCTGGACATTATGAAGCGAAGACGGTCTCGTGAAGATTGGCTGAGGACGGTCTCGTATGTCTTGGCACAATTGCTGGGTATCCCAGATGACAAGTTGGAAGTCAGGAACAAAAAACTCGAAATCGCTGCCATGGCCACAACAGCCAAAGCATCAAAGATGGAGATTCAAACAGTCGAGGAGGTGCTAGAAGAAGTGGTACCATCACCGTTCTCTGCCTTGCTTGGTTATATCTCGGCAGCTACCAAAGATGGGGTACTTCGAGCGCCGCATGCGAAGGTGCTGTGCCATGTGGCTGATATGTATGCTTTGCTCCTGTCCGAAGGCCACCAACCGACCTTCATGGAGACACAGAATCGGCCACGTGACTTCATAGAGCTTGGTAAAGGTGAGAAGGAAAAGGCTCTGCCAGAGGAGCTGAAATCTTCGGACCTTTTCAAGTTCGTGACACTTTTGCTGAGCTCCACTGATCCGCATTTGCGCGCCTCTTGCTTCAGAGCCATCTCTGCTTTGAGTGCCCGGCCCTTCAGGGAACAGCGGCTATTCAAGATGGTGAAGTTTTCAAAGCTGTGCATGGAGCAACCTGATGCCAAAACCACCAAGTGCTACCAAGGCCTTCCGCCACAGAGCCTTACCTTTGCTTTGCCCAGTCAATGCATTGCTCATCCGCCCTTTGCCTTCAGCTTTTGGGTCTACATGCAGGATCCAACATCACGAGGAGAATTAGGACGTCGATCCTATTTCCTCATGGGTGTGTTCATGCCCACAGCCAGTGGCACACCTGTCATCTCCCTTGCCTTGGGAGCTGGTCATGGCATCCATGGGCAGGATGGGCGCCTGGAGATTTGGGTGGGCAATGAGTTGAGAGCGCCAGACAATGAAGAACAAGTGGCGGATGGCAAAACGGCGCATGAGCTTTCTTTGGTGAAAGCTGGAGTTTGGGTGCACGTGGCCTTAGTGGTCCAACATCGAGTGATTTCAGCATATGTGCAGGGGGAGAAGGTTGTTGATGCAAAACTGCAGGGCACTATGCAGTTCTCATCCCTTGCGCCTGAGCCACAACGTGCCGTTTGTTTTGTAGGCTTTCCTCCCCCGGACCTTCTCCGATACCAGAACTCCATCAGCATCATGGAAGGCCTCCTTGCTCACATGACTTACCACGACGAAGGTCTTACAAAGAGCCAGGTTTACAATGCATACTTCCGGTCACGCCACATGTTGCCCACTGAGAAGAACATTCCAATGATGGAAGAGGCGAACGAGCGCAAGGAGTCAATCATGTATCCATACCACCAACAGCAACCATCGCCACTTATGTGGCTTGTGATTTCTGACCGGTGGCACCAGGTGGATACCCAGCTCTTTGCTGTTCTCAACTCCAGGCGGGGTTCTTGAAAGGTGGAACCTGTCCCAAGCATGCCTGGATTGCACTGAGACTCAGACCTGAGGAAACCATAGGAGGATACTGACAAAGTGGTTTGCACGGAAGCAAGCACCATGTTCCAACCTTCAAAAACGTGAAAGGATGTTGAGCGTTATATAATGCTATATAACTTCTTTTTTGTTTTGTGGATGATCATCAGATCATCATGAAAACCATAACATAATATACTTAACAATATATCATATTATATTTAAATATCTTGTGACCTGACACAAACGAGGTACTGTACTTCTGGACATTTGTCCGCACATAGGGGGTGTTCTTTGATAATTTAAAGACCTTGTAAAACGACAAGAAAGCAACAATCGGGGGTGCTTTGAAAGGCACCAGCTCTCGGTTTGATAGTTGCAATATTTGCTCATTAAAAGCCAAAGTGCCAGGTCTCATTTGCAGCGACATGGGCGAGACAAGGGAGCACAAGACCTCGTTCGTGGCCTGCGGATGGCAGCCACTGACCTTCTGATGAACATCATCGATGCAGAGGCTGTGGTGCCCCACCGACTGCGACAGTATGCTTTGAATTTTGGCAGCTTGAAGACAGTCACACAACTGCCTTTTCGCTTGGGAATCTCGGAGGACAACTTCACGATTGATTTCAAACTTCGTTTTCGGGGCTATGCGTTGCTTGAAGAGGGTGCAAAGTGCCAAAGCATCTTGGGCTGCTTTGCCAAGAAGGGCACTGCTGATAGAGACCAATTCCGAATTTCACTGGAGGTATCCAATATCACTTCAGCTGATGATGGCATGCTGGCGGGAGAAGCTACTGGCAAACAGCAGGCCTGGCATCTTGTATTCTGCTACAACGGGCAGACAACACAGCTAATGGTACCACCTATGGCAGGCGATTGGCTACATGTTGCCATTTCATATGTGGAGGGCCACACAGAGCTTGGTTGCTCCTGGGATGGGGCACCAGCTCGCAAAGTCGAAGCGGACTACAGCAAAGTTGATCAGCGGCATTCGGTGGATGGCTATGTTGGTTTCGAGGTGACGAAAAAACACGTGACGAGCAACTTGTTGTGCGACATCCACTATTTTCGCGCCTGGAAAACTTCGCCTGGAATCGAGAAGGTCATGGCAAGGCATGCGGATTCAGAGGCTCCAGATCCAATTTTGGCAGCTGGTGACACGATCTACACCATGACAGTTGCGGCGTGCATCCACGAGGATCGCGGCTACCTCTTAGATTTGATTCCGAAAGAACGATTGCCTGGTGCCAAAGTCACTGGGCGGAACTTCACCATGTTTCCCGCCCTCCGTAGCCGCCTCGCAGTCACCACCGACTACGTGGGTGCCATGGTTTGTTCTGTGGAGCATGTCCCTCGTTTCGTGTCCCCTCATCCCTCCCTTCGACTCGGCCTCGTACAGTCCCGAGACGCCCAAGCGGCTTCCAGCGCGGCATCCAGCGCGGAGGCCAAGGAGAAAATCAAAGCTCCATCCTACACAGCTCGAGTGGCGGCTGAAAAGTTCTCGTCCACCCAGATCAGGGCCACGGTTCCGGAAGCTGCTGTCAAGGCTGGCGTCCCAGCAGGAAAAGGTTGCTGGGCATGCTTTCGGCTTTGCCACGAGCACCATGCTGCACAGCAGTTTACTTGGGTCATCCATCATTCTTCTGACTTGAATGGGCAGACGAAGCGGGAGCAGTGCTGGGTTGGCCTTATTGATGAAGCGGGAGGAGAGTTCTATCGCTTCAATTGCTTTGATTTGGAAGCCACTGTGGATCAGCGCTTGATGCAACAGAGCCCAGACCACCGATTGGACCATGTGGTTGAAGACAAGAAGGCCATTGCAAAGGCCGCACTACGTCGACGTGGCAGTGTGGTCACTTTGCAGGCAACCTTTGAGCTTCAGACCCGAACATGCTGGATCAACGTCTTCATCAATGACATGATCCTGGATGCTCGAATCCTCCGGCTCCAACATCGACACAGCTTGCGGTGTGCAGCGTTTGTGGGAAATTCCGGCCAGCACTTTTCTTCATTACCACCGTTGTTCACGCAGTGTTCCTATGGCCAACTGGTTTACCAGCTTCCCGGAAAACCGCAGGATCGTTTCTCCAAGTTCAGCTTCCCATTGCTTCTTTGGCCTTCCATGGAGCCTAACATTCAGGTTCCCACTCCTGGGGAACGTTCTTCCATCTACTGCTGCTACTCAGACATGGCCGAGATGGAGTCGATCCCCTTTGATCATCCAGCCAACGAACGCGTCCGACGCCGTATCCTCGCGCGTTTGACACAAGCGCGCTCACTGGAGGTCTCCCGGAAGGTCATCGAGATCGCGGCAGCGGGCTGTTCGGTGGAACGGACCGGTCTTTGCAGCTTTCCCGGCGACTGGGGCGAAGAGAGAGACCCCCAAAAGGATTTGGCAAGAACCCAAAAGGATGGTGGATTTGCTCTCTTTTCTTCCTTTTCCATCTTTTCCATACTTATTCGCCCCCCCCCAAAACACCAAGGGTTTCTATTGGATGGTGGAGATTTTTTTTGTTTGATTCTATTTTATGCAATTTTTTGCTTTCTTTTTTATATCAATATGTTCAAGGCACACAGAGTCTGAGATGGGATGACACCCCATGTTTGTTCCGCCAGGTGATATGCTTCTGTTGGCCTCTCTAAGTGCCTCGGATGAGCTGTGGAAGGTGATCGGCCGACGCGGTGGAGAACTGGGTCATGCCATACACTCCATTTGCAATGTTACGCTCGGTGGCAGTTCCAATGAAGTGACCCAAGCCTTGGAGCAAAAGCAAATGGCCCTGCAGGTCATTGAGATGTTGCTACGCTATCCTCATACTTATGACCAATTGATGCGGGAAGGTTACATGGCGCTTTTGGTGCAAGAAGTGTGTAATCCACCGAAGCTCCAGGATGATGACAGCCTTTCCGTTTTCAGCTCTGTCTCTACCAGGATCCTGAAATCTACCCAACGCCTAGCAACCTGGGCCACTCGGCGAGTAGCAGCACTGGCACTTTTTCGTACGATGCGGTTGCGGAGCAGTTTGCTTTCTGCGAAAGATGCCCCTGCTTTGATGGAGACCTTGTCGCAGGCCATTGATGAGCTGGCCGCAGTAGGGGGTTCCGTCCATCTCGCAAGCGACGATGGAACCGGCGGTTTGGTACATGCCGAAGGGAACGACCAGACTGAGGTGATGCAAAGCAGTCTTGGTCAGCTTGGAAGTGAAGATAAGCAGGTCATTATTGGAGCATTGTCCGGGACAGTCAACATCGTCCGGTCAAACTTGTCCAAGTTCTCTGAGGCTCTTGCATTCAACCTTCAGGGCCTGGCTCAGGGCTCGCCGCACTTGGAGAAGTCCTCCGACCCACAGCTGGTGCGCAATATTTTGCGCACACTCATTCGGATGGTTGCTTTTGAGGACTGCCCCACACGATTCGTGGAGTCTCAACACACGTCGTCTGAATTGATGAGGCATCCCTCAGCGAAGATCTTTCGATGCCAGGTGCCTATGGCCACTAGCATGCATATCCATTTTGATCCTTTACCCATAGGACGAGGTGCCGTGAAGCTCTTTGTTGGAGGCGAGCAAGTGGCAATTTTCAACAAAAGTCTTCAATCCAAGGCAGTGAGCAACACATCCACAATCATTGAGATCAGTGGAGACTGCTTTGACTGGCAATTCATTTATGACACAGACAAGGTCTCATCGGACCGACCGGAGAAGGCGAGCGGGCAGACCGACCGCTCTGCCCCGAGCGGTCTTGGCACTGAGGCGATCAGCGAGAATTTGGGATATCGCTTCTATGTTTTGCCAAGCTTTGAAGCATCAACTCAAGAGGAAGCAAAGGAAAGACGTTTGTTGGTGATGGACCAGCCGCTTTTGGTCAGCCGCATCATCAAGCTGCACTCAAAGACTCCTAATGGTGGGCTGGCAGGTGCTGACCAGGATGGGAAAGGGATCAATCTTGACATGCCTGCACAAGCAATATGGTCAAAGGATTCCATCGCAAATCGTGGGTATTTGTGGATTCATCATCAAACATCATAAAGCTTTAAAGCACTCGACTTTGTTTCATCACTTTGCCAGTTTTGTCGCACCCTCGTGCACTTGTGCTGACCCCAAGATACCCTAAGCTTTGACATACCAGGAACTCTGAACGCAACTGTAAGGACAACCCGTTGAGCCGAAACTCTTGGAGACAAAGCACAGATCAACAAAATCCCAAACTCCAACAGCCAGAGAAAGCCACGTGAATGGTCCTGCCACACTTTCAAAAGACGAAAGCTCCGAAGTCATCGACTCCGCTCATTTGGCATTAATTGTTTGGTCGTTTGCAGCATCTTTGTTTGTGCTGCTTGTCACTATTGTTGATGGTTTTGTTCAAAGTTGTGGCTCCAGTGCTTTGCATTTTGACTTTCATGGTTTCAATGCGACGAAGCTGATGACTTGCTGCTTCACTCAGTTGTGTCATGGCTTTGCTACCGCCTCTGAAGCAGCCTTATGCTCGGCTCAAATGCACAGGAATACCTGGATGGTTGAGTTTGCATAAGAGTAACTGCATATAATACAGTGTATATAGTAATCCCTTCTACCTATTAAAGAACACGAGGGCCCCCCTCACCCCCTATTAAGAAAAACTCGGTCGCATTTATTTAAATAGGGGGTCCCTGAAATCGGGGGGGTCCAAAATAGGGACACCGGGGAACGGGAACAGCTTCAAAACCAAAAAGTCATCCAGCAAAATTCAATAAACCTCCAGATCGAAGGGTCTTCATTTTCCCCTACAAAAATCTTTATTAGAATACTGATTCACCATTAGACTAACAACTAAAGCTTTCGAAAGGTGATGTCACTGTGCCATGCGGTTTTGCGCGACCTCGGTGGCAAGTGCATTTGCGTGAGTCCGTGCCATTGGGGGAAGGAAAACCTGCTGGTGTAAATGCGGCGTGTCATGGTGGATACACAGGGCGGACAGAGGTGGGCAGTTACGGTTGTTTTTGAAACCTACTGTAAGTAAACAACTACACCAAAAATCGACCATGTTGGTAGTTTAGTAGCGGCTTGAAAGGGCGGTAATTAAAAGCATATAAGCCGTACTTAGGGATTCGGACATGGTGTTTTTTGACTGGGGAGGCTTTTTTAAATGGGTACTTGGGGCTCAAGCTGGCCTGTCTGCAGGTCTTCACTCGGACAGGACTGAATTTTACCAATAACAAAGCAACGGAACCGGCAGCAAAGCGCAAGACGCGGAGAGACGCGTGACTAGAGGAGCTAACATGATTAATGGATCAGTCGTTTAGGATGCAGATGCCTCTGGTTACGTTCCTTAGTGCCATATTGTTCCGAGTTCCGCATCTCCGGTGGGTTACGAGGGCGTCTACGGCGCCGGAAAGAATATTGGAGACTGGGCGCTTCCCAGGTGGAATGCCGTAGGCGAAGCGCCCAAGGAACGATTGGTCATCGTCAATGTCTTCTTCATTGTCAAGCAGCAGTTGTCTAAATCGGAAAAGAAAGCTGGTGCTACAAGTAGTCACCACCTTAATAGATTTCATAGGCCAACCAAGAAACTTCCTGCCTAATGCACTTCACTTGCCTTTGCTGCAACGCATAGAAGAAAATCATTGCTGAACGCACGAGAGTTAGTTTTTCCTTTCTGGAGGTGTTCGCGCCAAAGGCATTCATTTTGATGAAAAAAGGATAGATTCAGATTGATAGATTCATTGATGTGAGATGATAATAGCTGAAGAAGAGCCCCAGTGCTAGAAAATATGACGCAGGGAGTGCATGCCACTTACGTATCAATGAACTTAGAGAATCCAAACCAAATGAAAAGAGGTTGCTTGAAGCATCTCACGGTTGCTAAGAACGTTCGGAACAATTATTGAAATCATGTAGAAGGGAAGCAAAAGCGCAACAAACATGGCCGACCAATGAAGCTTGCAACTAGAAAGATCATGGCAGTTCACGCGAGGAGGACATGAATTCCAAAAGAAACAGCCATTGCTCGAACCGACTTGCCACGTGGGGATGCTTCTGCGCTCGCGGGTCGAGCGCGCCATAGCTCCGTACGACTGCGTACCGAGTGCTGAAGGTCTGCCAACATGGGGCATTCTCAGCTGGCAGAATGCCGTGCAGTATGCATCGAAACCCTCTTTGTTGAAGTCTTGGCGGATTCCTTTTCAGCAGTTGCTTTGACTTAGCAGCATGTGTGTCTCTGTGTGTGTGTCCACTCCTGTTTCCAAGGACACTAATCTAGCTATTTCTATTCCTATGACTTTCTGAACCTTTGTACAGCAGCAGCAGGGGGTGGTAGCAAGGCAGAGAGTCTACCACCAACGAAGACGCTCTCTAAGCCTTGGTGATACTGGGACTGATCATCCCAGCGTACCTGCAACCTTTTAATATTCATTCAGTGATGCTTCTAAGTCAGTTCAACGCTGTCTCATACGTTGTTTTGCAGTAAAGTGCTAATGCATTCAGCTAATGCAGTACCTAAATGTAAAGTGCTAATGCTCACCGCGAACAGCCTGAAGACAAGCTCCACGGAGCAACCTTCTCAAGTGTGTTTCCGCAGCTTCTTCCCACTGTGGTAAGCTGTGTGATCCCTGCGGGGCGCCGTTACTGCAAGAACTTTCTCACTCCTCATCGCAGGAGTAAGTTTCCTGAAGTTTTTACTGAAGTTCACTCGACCGAACTTTCCTGCTCGAAATCAGCTTGCTTGGATTGTCTCACCCGTCACACGTGAAGTTTACTGCAGAGTTCACTGAGACTTCCACTGAAATATACTGCAGAGTTTGACTGCTTCAGTTTCACCCGAGAATCCTTCTCTTATTAATTTTTCAATTGTCAATTTCAGAGATTCAATTAAAGTCAGTTGCACACTCCTCCACTTTGCAGCATCATATTGTATTCTGTCATACAACTTTTTCAAGTTCAAGTTCAAGGACTGCTTTGATCTACATATTAACATACATACATCGACCTCATTCGATTTGCCGAGCAGCCATGACGTATCCCTGGCCGTATTCACTACCACCACACCTACAGCCGCAACCACAGCCCACACAACCACACTGGTTCCCTTACCCACCACAAGCTCCGCCGCAACCATACCCAACACTGCCACCAGTTCCATCACATCATTCAATCCCTCACGTTTATCCACATCCCACGACTTTTCCACCTCAAGCACACTATATGCAGCCACATCCACTACACACATCACATTATCCAGTACAACCCACTGTCCACTTTGACAACACCCAACATCCACAACCGCATCCACAACCGCATCCACCACCCGCAACACAGCCAATGCAGTCTCAAGTCCACACACCTTCGACACAGATACCCCAACCACATGCACCACTTTCCACAAGCCAATCACCACCACCATCACACCCACCACCTCCCTCAGCAAATCCAGTACACACCACTACCCCCGCGGAAATCGCTACCACCACACACCCAACCAGCTTCCACGGAGCCCGCTTCAGCATCCATCACCACACCTGCTCAACCTCCACCACCACCCAGCGTGACACGCGCAACAAAACCGACACCATCCATTGCACCCACACTCAGCGCCACGAGAGGCATATGGCGAGACCCAGATCGATCGCCTCCACGTACACCTGAACACCACCGCTATTCAGCCTTTCCTGCCATTCCCACCATTGCGCCATCACAAGCCACATCCAGATCCAGGAGCCGCACTTGTTCAGCACGCACTCCACGCTCTCCACTGCCACGACGACGAGGCTCAGCTACCCAATCAGTTGCCAGTTCACAACCACATTCCACGCCTGCTGACAGGCGTACATCACCACCGCCGGACTTGATCCACGACAAAACCCGCACTTCCACCAAAGGCATCACCATTGCCACCACTACCAAAAACACTCCAGAATCAGCCCACCGTACCTCCGGCATCATACTCAAACCCAATCCACTTTTCACACCCAAGCACACCACCAAAAAGGCACCAACACCACCGCCCGCAGCACCACCAACTATACCAGTCCAACGACGTCCTCACAACCTACCTTCTCCAAAATTCCAACCACCCACTGATCCAGCCCAATTGGATGTCTTCCAATGGATCAACCAGTATGCACAATCACTCGACGTTCACAATGAACCCATGATCTCCTACGTGGCCAAAGTGCTCAGCGCTGCCCATCTCAACAGCACCCACTTTACAGACATGCAACTTCTCACACACACAAAATGGAACGATGACACCAACAAAGATGAACATCACTCATTCCTACTACTCACCATCCCCACACTAGCGAGCAGGGGCGATGCCCCAATCCTCCCTCCAGGAGAGAAGCTTTGAATATACCACCGATTAAACACATCTTTGCGGCACATGTTAGCGAAGAGGGAAACATCATCTCCATACTTGAAGCAGGAGAAATTGTGAGATCAGTTCTGCACGACGACCACAATGTAGGTTTCTTTTGCCAGGCTTTCGAACTATCGAACTACGAGCCACATGATGTTGCCGAAGCCGCGCGAGTGTTATTCAATGCTTCAAACACGACCAAGAACCGCAGCGGCCTCATCTTGACGATCAAAGCTTATGGCCATGGCCAGAAAGTAACTCATGGGGGCGAATCCGCTGCGAATGACCTGCTGCTCCGCGGCGAAGGGATTGTAAAATATACTCCAGGAAAATGCTGGGTGGCGCACCCGAAGCATTCAAGGATTGAAGGGATTGCCTGGAAAAGCGATGCAAAGCCACCGCTCAGCTTCATTTAATTCAACCCTTCCAGCCCAGGAGGATCTTTTTCACCCCTCATTTCGGTTGACGACAAGTCCTCAAAATACCCACACCGCTCGCGTTCTGATTTTACTGGTTCACTATTTTTACTGTTTCACTATTCTTTGACAACCTTTACCCATTTTCAAGATTTTCCTTGCGCATGTCTTCATGCATA